TAGCTTGTTTGTGCCTGGGATCAGCCCCAGAGGCTGGAAGACTGTCAGGCTCAAACCCAACCACAGCATGTGAGCTGCTGTGCACGTGCTGACTACACAAAGCAGAATTTGCCTTAGCTGGGTTTGGTGCCTGCTGAGATCCCCCTTGGATATGCCACTTGTGATACTTATTGGATCCTCTTCTGATGTTGTCTGAAGCTGGCCACTGTGTTTGTTGATTCTTGGTCTTTGGGAGGGACTCCGGTGCAGTCCAATGTCAGACACTACCTATAACTGCTCCTGAGAAACCAGTATGGGGCAGGCTTGATGGGGCTTTTTCTATAAATCCTTGGTTATAAAATTTCTCTTCAGCTGGTTTTCATTTGGCTACTCAAGATGAATCCCAGCTACTTTTATTAATTAAAAATTTTAGGGCTCTGGTCAAAATGGCAGAATAGGTAAATGTAGTCCTTGAATCCTCCCATAACCACACCAAAATTACAACTAAACTACAGAACAACCATCATTCAAAACTGCCTGAAATCTAGCTGAACAGAAATCTTAAAACTGAACATATAAAAAAAAAAAGCTACGTCAAGACTGGTAGGAGGGATGGAGACTCAGAATAGGCTGGTACACACCCATGTGTGGTGGATAGAAATCAAGAGAGACATCTTAGAAGCAGAGGTGCCCTCTTAGGAGCCTTACCAGGTCCCCATACCAGGGTTCCAGTGCCAGGAAAAGAAGTAACAATAATTTCTGGCTATAAAAACCAGGGTATCCCTGGCTGGTTTGGCTCAGTGGTTAGAGAACTGGCCTGCAGTCCAGAGAGACCCGGGTTCGGTTCCCGCTAAGGGCACGTACCTCGTTTGCAGTTTATCCCTGGCCCTGGTTAGTTGTGGGATTGTCAGCCACGCGATGTGTCCCTTTCACATCAATGTTTCTTTCTCTCTCTCTCTTCCTCTCCCCGTGCCCCACTCTATCTGGACAAAAAAATGGAAAAATGTCCTCCGGTGAGGAAAAAAAAAAAAAAATTAAGACCAGGGTAATTGAGGCTGAGGGAGATGGAGTTCTAGAGTTCCAGGCAGTTACTCTTAAAGGGCTCATGTGCAAACTTACACTCACTCACTCTGATTTCTCGCATTGAGGCACCAGGGGCATATGGGGAGGAACACAATAGTCTGGCATCTGGGCAAGAGCTGGAGAGCTTTCTCCCCGACAGAAGGGTTGGCAGAGGCCACTGTTCCTTATCTGAACCCTCCTCCCACAGGGAGCCATATCTGAGTCTCCATCACACAGGCTAACACTGTTTGCCCTGCCCTGGTGATTCCCTGAGACTCTATCCCACACAACTTGCAGGCCCACCCAAAGATGATTCCAGTGACTTTTTCATACAAATGGTCTCTCTTGGCTTATGTTTCACACTTTCTTAAAATCTCTCAGACAAGCAGAATCTGGCCTCAGCATGTCTCTTTAAGTGGCCCCGGTTCCAGCAGTACCGTCAACTGACCTTAGTTCACAGCCTGGCCTTACCTGGCCACCTCCAATTCCAACACAAGTAGCAACCACCTGTAGCTCATGCCAGCTGACCCTGGGGCAGGGCAGAAGTGGTGGCTTACCTTGACCTGCACCACTTGAGTGGCCCCAAATCAAACACACCCCATGAACAGCTTCAGATCATGTTAAAACACTACCTAATCTCCTCCACAAGGGACATACTCAAGGGGCAAGTTCAGCATGCATCAGCATCCTGCTGAAGTAAGTCCTGCCCTGTAGGGTTGGCCCCTGCACAGATGATCCTCCATGATAGTCATGCCCAATCTTTGCAGTCAGTCAGTTTGGTAATAATCCCTCCAACTGAGGTGCTAACAGCAATCAAGTCTCAACTACAGCAAGAAGGTGTACACAGTCTACACAGTGTGTGAACCTAGAGTGCCCAGGTGAGTGCTTGGGGAAGCTGTGCCACTGGACCCTATAGGATGCCTACAACATAAGGTCACTCTACCAAGCCCTGGAGATGTAGCAGCTCTACCTAATACATAGAAACAAACACAGGGAGGCAGCCCAACTGAGGATACAAAGAAACATGTCCCAAGTGAAAAAACTGTACAAAACTCCAGAAAGTAACTAAACAAAATGGAGACAAGTAATCTACTAGATGCAGAGTTCAAAAACACTGGTTATAAGAATACACAATTGATGTATGGGAAAAGTAGATGCACTTAGTAAGAACTTCAAGAAAGAGATATAAAATATAAAAATGGAGATAGAAAACATAAGAAAGAATCAATCAGAAATGAAGAATACATGAACTGAAATGAGAAATAAATTACATAGAATCAGTAGTGCAGTAGAGGAAGCAGAGGATCATATCAGAGATTTAGAAGATAAGGAAGTAGAAAACATCCAATAAGAATGGCAAAAAGAAAAATAATTAAAAAAATGAAGATAGTAGAAGGAGCCTCTGGGATAACTTCAAGCATACTAACGTTCACATCATGTGGGTGCCAGAGAGAAGAGAGAGAGCAAGGAATTAAAAACCATTTGAAAAATAATGATGAAACGTCCCTAACCTGGTAAAGTTTTCTTCATACAAGTCAAGGGAACTCAGAGAGTCTCCAACAAGATACATCCAAAAGGTCCACACCAAGGAAAATATAATTAAAATGTAAAGGGTTAAGGACAAAGAGAGACTCAAGAGAAAAGCATTTAATCATCTGCAAAGTATGTCCCATAAGACTGTCAGATGATTTCTCAACAGACATTTTAGGCCAGAAGGGAATGGAATGAAATATTTAATGTCATGAAAAGCAAGAATCTACAACCAAGATTACTCTACTCAACAAAGCTGTCCTTTAGAATAGAAGAATAGATAAAGATCTTCACAGACAAGAAAAAGCTAAAAGAGTTCATCACCACCAAACCAGTATTACAAGAAATGTTAATGGGTCTATGAAAAGAAGAGGAAGAAAAAAAAAAAAGATGAAATATATGAATAATAAAATGGCAATAAATACATATGTATTAACAATTTCTTTAAATACAAATGGTTTAAATGCTCAAAAGATACATGGAGACTGACTGGATAACAATACCAGACACATATGCTGTCTACAAGAGATTCACTTCACATAGAAAAACACACACAGACTGAAAAAGATGGAAAAAGATATTTCATGAAAAGGGAAACAAACAAACAATGCTGGTGTAGCAATACTTATATGAGACAAAATAGATTTTAAAACAAAGGCTATGCCTTGGCCAGTTTGGCCCAGCAGTTAGAGTGTTGGCCTGTAGAGTGGAGGATTGTGGGTTTGATTCCTGTAGGGCATGTACCTGGATTGCAGGTTCAATGCCCAGCCCTGGTCAGTGTTGTATAGGAGGAACCAATCAATGTGTTTCTCTCACATCAGTGTTTCTCGCTCTCTCTATCTCCCCCCCCTCCCTCCCATCACTCCTCCCTCCTGTTCTGTCTAAAAATCAATGGAAAAATATTCTTGGGTGAGGATTAACAACAACAAAAAACAAAATAAAAAAACAAAGGTTATAACAAGAGACAAAGAAGGATCCAGCAATTCCAATTCTAGGTATTTAATCAAAAAATGCAAAACCTTAAATCAAAAAGATATATACATTCATATGTTCATTGCCACATTATTTACATAGCTAAGATATGGGAGCAACCCAAGTGCCCATTAATAGATGAGTGGATGAAAAAAGAAGTGGTGCATATATACAATGGAATATGATTCAGCTATAAAAAAGAATGAAATCTTGCCATCTACAACAATCTGGATGGACCTAGTGGGTATCGGGTTGAGTGTGGAATAAGTCAGAAATAGGAAGACAAATGCCAGATAACTTATCCCAGGTTAACTTTGAAGTACCAAATACAGTAACACAGGATCAAATGAATAACAATCCTTGTGCTCGGTGTCTACATGAGGCAGGCACAATTGTAAGCACTCTACACAAATAGTATACTCACTCCTCACAATCAGAGGTACACAAAGCGAAGAATGTGGGTTTTCTATGCTGGCAGTCCAGCTCCAAGATCCTCTGCTAAAAACCATTATACTATAAAAGTTGAAACTGAAGAAAACCCAAGGGTAGAGGTGATTTTAACATATGTTATTCTTTAAAAAAATTAAGTAGTCAGAAATGAGTTAAACAGAGAAATATAAAACCATATATTCATAAATAGGAATCTAGACTCTGCAATGAAAAACACAGATTGTTTTAAAGAACACAATGTATATTTAAAAAGTAGACTCAAAAGGGAAACTTTGTCAAAGACCTAAGCATGAGAGATAAATATGATAGCTATTAATAATGGGTTGGAAAGTCTGCATGGGAGAAAAGTCAGATTTAAACCTAAACGACCTCCTGACACAAATTTTACATTTTGGAAGGTATAGGACAATAGTTCCATCCAGTAGATGTATGTGTCTTTGTGTGAGTTTGTGTTGAGTGTTTATGAGCTTGTAGACAATAAAGTTATACAAAAGTATTAGTTATCAGCAACCTAGTTTTATGGTGTATTGGCCTTGCTGCAGTTCCTGAGAAAATCTTTGATACTTTTGCTAGAAAAAATTTTGAATTCCTTCTACATAATTCTGGCATTAAAAAGAATTCATAGTGATGATCGTCCCAGTTATGACCAAGCTCCAACTAATAGTTGAAGACATTCACTGTATACTGGGTTTTAAAATTTTACTAACAAACAAATAATGTTGATGAACACAAATTATGGAGAGTCAAACCCAGAAACAAATTGCAAAACAATACGTCTCTATTTGCATGCTAGCAAATGAGAATTCAGCTTTCACTTCAACATTAGTTATGAAATAATCCAGCCAGAGGCAGGAACACACACTGTTTGAATGGGAGTCGATTTGAGCTATTAGGGAATAACAATGTTTTCCATAAAGATAGCATTGAACTAATTTATTAGCATACCCTGAAGCTTTCCTGCTTGGCATTGGTGGCAGAATTGAAAAGAAACCAAAATTTTACTGCAAATTCAGAATCAGCTGCATATAGAAATTAAGGTCAGAATAATACAGAAAACACGACCAGTGATATTAGACCTGGCTTTTTTTCCTTTTTAGACATAATGGCTTTACTACCAATAATCCTTTCCAGCCTATTAATGATAGAATTTGTTCTAGGAAACTTTGCCAATGGCTTCATAGCACTGGTGAACTGCACTGACTGGGTCAAGAGACAAAAGCTGTCCTGCACTGACCGAATTCTCACTGCTCTGGCGGTCTCCAGAATTGGTTTACTCTGGGTATTAGTATTGAATTTGTATGCTACTGTGTTTAATCTGGCATTCTATAACACAGAAGCAAGACTTATTATGCATATTGTCTGGGTAGTAAGCAACCATTGTAGCCTCTGGCTTGCTACTAGCCTCAGCATACTTTATTTGCTCATGATAGCCAATTTCTCCAATCGTTGTTTTCTTCATCTGAAATGGAAAGCTAAAAGAGTGGTTCTCATGATATTTTTGGGGACTTTGATCATCTTGGTTTGTCATATTGCAGTGAGTAGCATAGAGGAAGCAATGGCGATGAATGTATATGATAGAAACATCACTTGGGAAACCAACATGTTGGATAAGGTACACATTTCAAGTGTGACTGTATTCATACTTGTAAACTTCATACCCTTTACAATGTCCCTGACAGCTGTTTTGCTGTTAATCTTTTCCATGTGGAAACATGTCAAGAAGATGCAACTCAATGGCAAAGGATCCCAAGATCTCAGCACCAAGATTCACGTAAGAGCCATGCATACTGTGATCTCCTTTCTCTTGCTGTTTGTCATTTTCTTCGTGTCTCAAATCACTTCACTTTTGAATTCTAGTACTCTACAGAGCATTTCAGTTCGCACTTTTTGCGAGGTTCTTGGATTGATGTATCCTTCAAGCCACTCATTCATCTTGATTTTTGGGAACAAGAAACTACGACAGGCCTTCTTGTCATTTCTATGGCAGCCGAGGTGCTGGCTGAATAAGAGGAAATAAGTGGGTACTTTGTGTCTTCTGGTGGAAAACAAACTGATGGAGACTGTAAAGATTTGTACTTCCTACTACATTTCTTAATGTGTATAGAATTGGTAAGGTTTACGTAGGAAAACTTTTACCTAAGCTTATTACAAAAACATACATATATGTGCAGGTTTATGAAAAATACAGGAAAGATGATAAGATTACCATATTATTTTTTCAGTCATGCAATCTAACTTAAAAAATATTGTAAAAAATTTCTCAAAGTTATGAAGCCATGAGTTCTCACATATGTATTCTATGTTATCATCTTGCAAGAGAAGAATTTATGATGTATATTTATGTATTTTTAAGGACTGACAAGTCAACTCAGGAAATCATTGCTATTTTTCTTTGTAATAAGTACCATATATATGTACTACAGTGTGTGTAGATCATTTTGTTTGTACCTACAATATTTTAAAAGATAAGGATATTCAATTCTAAATCACATGTTGAGGATGGATGTTTGGGATACATATTATTCAATCATGAATTCTTACTTTGTGGTAATAGAAAACAATCAGAACTGTTGTTAGGAAAAGATGCCCATGAAATTAAAGAGTGACAGACATATTTGTAGTATATTTTATATACATAAACAGCTCTAAAGATTATTAGATTTAATACAAGTAAGTGGAAGCTTAGAAAATAATGAAGTTCTACAAATGGAATAAAGAAGAAAGCAAAATAATCATGATGTTTTTAATTGTTGCTATGGTTACATATGTAATTAGGTAAGTAATTTCTCATAGTCTTTCAATTCAGACCTTTTTATTTTATTTTATTTTTTTTTATCCTCACCCAAGGACATTTTTCCATTTTTTGTTCAGGTAGAGTGGGAGGGAGAGAGAGGAACAGAGAGAGAGAGAGAAACATCGATGTGAAAGGAACACATCGAGTGGCTGCCACCCGCACAACGGACCAGGGCCGGGGACAAACTGCAACTGAGGCACACGCCCTCAGCGGGAACCGAACCCGGGTCTCTCAGGACCGCACGCCGATGCTCTAACCGCTGAGCCAAACTGGCCAGGGCAATTCAGACCTTTTTAAAGTTGAAAACGGATGTGTATTTATTCAGTTATTCATGTTTGTGGCTCTAAATTGCCAATCATCTTTTCCATCTTTCTACCTAATCATGCCTTTTAAACTTCAGACAAAAATAACACTAATAAAAAGGTAAAGGCTTTCTTTAAGAGTTTGGTGTTATAGATTTTATTCAGTTTCCCCATAGAAGATGATTTATAGAAGAAGAACAAAAGATTCTTTCCAATATGAGTCACAGGAGAAGGTAATACTAAGATACCACCCAAGGAAGTGGTGTTCCATTTCCACTTGGTGGTGGAGATCAATTACTCCAGCAGCACAGTATCTCCATTCTTTGCCTGTTGATTTAGAGGCTCAAAGAGTCCAAAGTGGCTGGTCAGCAGTCTAAATTCCAGTTTGATAAAATCACTGTCGTGTCTCCTGGAAGAAGTGTTCCTGCCTTTGTACAATGACTTCCAGGCCAGGAGAGCATTAAGTCATGGGAAGAAAACAGCATTTTTGCTGTTAGGTTACTAGGGGTAATAGTGAATGGTGACAAGCAGATTTCTACACTTGTGAATACTGGTTACTGGAGAAACAGCATCATGTATGTAGTTCATGCTGAGTCCAAGTATATGTAACCTTCTAGAGATCCTTTCCAGGATCTCTATGCAAAATTCTGCCACCTAACTGGCACTGTAACTGAGTCTGCAGAAGGCTGGTATACTATCTGTCAAGCCAGCTACTAGAGTATGGTGGTACTATGGTAAGTACTATGGTGGTAACATGGTAAGATGAGTAAATTCCACAAGCATGGGCCTTTTGCCACAACTATCTTGCTGTGAAGTTGGTTCCTGATCAGAAGCAATGTTGTATACAGTAGCTTGATGATGGATAAGGCATTCTGTGAGTGCATGCATGGTGGTTTGGACAGAAGTATTGCATTGAAGGAAAGCAAATCCATATCCAGAGTAAGCATCTACTTCAGTAAGACCAAAATGTCTGTACTTCCATCATGAAAATAGTTCAATATAGTCAACCTGCCACTAGGTAACTGGGTGACCACCCCTCAAAATGGTGTTATATTTGGCACTCAGTTTTGGTGTCTCCTACTGGCAGATTTGGGCATTCAGCAGTGGCCACGTTGTTCTTGCCACTCTGGTCATGTTGTATATGAGCCCAGTGAGTGATGTCAGGAGTTGCCGGAGAAAGACTTTTATCCACCAAACTGGTGATGATCTTATCTACTTGTTAATTAAAATTCTTCATCTTGAATCCATCCTGTGGTGAACATTCCTATGGGATAAAAATATATTCACAATTTTAGCAAGGAAAAATGGTCAGGGAAGTCTGTCCACATACTTTTCTTAAAGTGCCTTGTCACTAATTTTCTAACCACGTTCCGTCCAAGTTGCTCACGATCCAGCGAAACCATTTGTAATTACATCTCTTTCCATTTTTTTCTTTTAAGCAAAGTTAACACCAGGTACAATGGTCAGAATTCTGTCCACTAAGAGGATTTTCATTCACCACTGTTGTTTGAAGATGTCCCAAGAAGGGACTGCAGTGCTGTAGTTATACACTTTGGGACGGCACCTGCATGTTATAGAGAACCATGTATAAAAGAGAGACACGTTTTCTCTCCCTCTGTCCAGCTATTGTAGAGAACTCCCCATGAGGCTAGAGGTGAATCCTAGAGCAGTGTAGCAGGCATGGGTCACTTCATGTAATGTTCTGGTGCCATCAGAACCTGCTTGGGTCTGATCATGTATATACTACTTCCATTCAATGATGGCAAATGTTCAATTTTATGGCTCCGTGGGTCATGTAACAATGGGCACACAGGAAACATGATAACTTGATTGCCTATGGTCAAGATTGTTGTCTCTACTAAGGTCCAGTAGCAGGCTAAAAGCTGTTTCTCTACCTTTGCTCCAACCTCCTAAGTCTCAATTTGGGGTCCTCTTTTTGTCCCTTGTTATAAGGGTACTCTCCAGCTGCTCTTTAGTTGGTTTTTCCCAAAGACTTGTCTTTATTTTAGTTGTAATTTCAATTTGGAGATAGTCTGTGTAGCCTCCATTCACTCTGCCACCATTTTCCTCTCTCCCTTTTTATCTATTTTAGATTGAGAGGAAGGGAAAGGGAGAGAGAGATTGAAACATTGATGAGCGAGAATATCAACTGGCTACCTCCTGTGTGCCCCCTATCTGGGATTGGGCCCAAAACCTGGGCATATGTCCTACCGGGATGCAAACCTGTGACCTCTTGGTGCATGGGTTGATGCTCAACCACTGAGCCACACCAGCCAGGTGAGACACATGCTCTTCAGATGGCGGTGTAAGAAAACACAGTACTTGCATCCTTTCACAAGTAATCCAAAATTACAAGTAAACTACAGAACAACGGTCACTGAGAGCTGCCTGAAATCTGGCTGAATGGGAGTCCTACAAATAGAGAATAAAGAAGAAGCCACATCGTGACTGGTAGGAGAGACAGAGAAGCAGAATGGGCTGGTCGACGCCCACTTGTGGTGAATAAAACTCAGAATGGACATCTTGGCTGCATAGATTCCCGCTGAGGAGTGAGTGATCCAGCCCCAGTGTTCCAGTGCCAGAAAGAGGAGTCTCCGTAATTTCTGGCTATAAATATGAGGGGGATTGAGGCTAGATTAGACTAAGGGCTGCTGGAATCCTGGGCATTCCTCTTTAGCATACATAATATATTAATTTCTAAAAATGTTTAAGCCATTTAAAATTTCAATTGTACAGTATTTTATAGTAGCTTCAACAATCTGAAAAGTAAAATAAACCACTTAAATCAACTTAAAAATGAACAACCTCTTTGCCCCCCTTGAGCATGCAAAAATCAACAGTGAACGTGGAATATTTAAATGAATACAATATAAGTATTTGGTAAAAGGATTTTTAAAAGTAAATTCCATCTGGTAATTCCATACAACTACCAGTATGTTGACAGTAGATAAGAATTTAAAACAAAACAAATCTAAGGTGATCAAGTCCACAATTAAGTGTTTTCATTTTATCCAGTTGTGAATAAATTAGCAGCCATTGTTTTATTCAATGTACTAGTGGTATCAACATCACAAGAAATGATCTGCCTTGTTTGTGCAAAATAAGAACAGTTACCTTCTGTTGAAAGGAAGTGAGCTTTTCAAACTTAGTTCCTTTTCATTTGTGTCAGAATTTCTAAATAAAATAGATGCCTCCAGATAGTGTCTTGGCAGCTCAGGTCCGTACATGACTTCATCTTCCAAGAAGTGATCACATGGCCACTTGCAGGTCTAATCTTTGTTTCAAAAAGGTATTTAAAGTCTGGAAGATACCTATCTGTCATTTCCTTTGTTTCATTTTCTTCAATATATTCGTTGTATCAATTGGACTCAATGAATTACTGCAAGTGGTCTTTTACCTTGTCATTGTGCTTCAAAAAACACTGCTTTAACATGAAAAAAATACATCATAATAAACAGGTGTTAAATTTTCTGTGAATAAATTTCTACAAGAAGTCAACTGAATAAAACACAGGTTTTATTGTATATGTTGTTGTAATGATTCCCTACTCGCTGGCTTTTCCAGTTTCCCACCCTGGGTGTATATGCCACAAGATGACCAAGGCTCCATGTGCAGAAGCTTCGTCTCACAGACTACTTGCCAGAGCACACTTAGTGCATGGTACATGTTTTAATTCTGAGGGTGTGTCATTATTACTGCCAATGTTTCATTAAAAAACAAATTTAGTTCTACCGGTAGTGAAGTACAGGAATATATGTCATGTAAAAGTTTCGAAATTATCTTTTTCTCATTTTTAGTTGGGAAGATTTTTTTTTCTTTTTTTATCCTCACCCGAGCACACCTTTCCATATTTTGTTCAGATAGAGTGGGAGGGAAAGAGAGAGAGAGAAACATCGACGTGAAAGGGACACATAGAGTGGT